AACCCTCCACTGACCTCCCTGTCCCTCGTCACGTAGGGGGTCCAGGCAAGGCCGTGGCTATTGTGTGTCAAGCACCAGAATCCCCCGGGTCTGTTTTGCAGATGAGGACGGTCCTTAGAGGCAGAGCTGGGGTCCAAACCCTGGTGCTCCCGACTCCAAAGCTCCCAACTGGCAAGCCGTTCTAAAACCTCCCAGCCCCGGGATCTCTGGAGGAAAGGGCTTTCTTTCTCCAGCTCTTGGCAGTGACCTTCAGGGGCGCATTCGCCTTCGGCAGTTGATGACTCTCTGGCTGTCCAGCTACTTGGAAATTTGGCTTTCTCGGTGCGGTTGGGCAGTGCTGGGAGCCTGCCGAGGGCAGGGGACCGAACAGGGGCTTCCAGATGGAAGGATGGACGTCGGCCAGAGCCGCAAGCCTGAGGCTGCCGCCCCCGCCCAACCCAGTGCCCGGGTGGGGCAGGGGGCGCTCAGGTGCGCGTGCGTGTATGTGTGTGCTCTGTGTTCTCTCTTCTGAGGCCGCTTACGATCTGTCTCTCCCACCAACGCCACCTCACCAGGAGCAGTACACGGTAAAGTTCTCTCTCTGTCTCTCTCTCTCTCTGTCTCTCTCTCTCTCATTTCGTCTCTCGTTCTCCGTGCTCTGGTGCAGCCACGTTGGTTCTGGGCCTCTTTCCATGGCCTCGTGTCCTTGCTGCTGTCCTGTTTTTTGCAGTGACCAGAGCCCCCCCTCGGTCTCTCCCCAGGGAGGGGAGCCCTCAGGGGTCTTGGCAACTGCTTCCCATTGCAACCCACCATTAGTCTGGTTCTTGGCAGAGATTAGAAGGGACCTGAGGGAGGGGGGGCAGACAAGCACGGGGAGGTGATTCCCGAAGGAGTAAGCGTGTCCAGACCCCGAGATGAGAGAAGGGTGGGAGAAGGGAGAACGAACATCTACACTCTCAGCAAAGTGGTTCGAAAAGCGGGTGGTTTTCTGTGAGAACGCCTTGATCAAGCCACTCCTGCAGGCTCAGGATCCAACCCGCCAGGAACACTCCTCAGTGCCTCCGTAAACAAGATTGTTTCTCAGCCTGGCCAGAGGGCACACAGCGCCTTCTGGGAGAGAGGGCCCCCTGATGGCCGGGGAGTCACTTTCCGAGGAGTGGATCTGCCCACGGGAGTCCTGCTTCCAAATGTCAGGCCTTCGGCACTTCGGGATTTTAGCTGGTCCCGCTCACGACCTAGATGCCCCCTTGCTTGATGTTATAGTACGGAGACTTCCGCTCTTCCCAAAGCAAAAGGCCTGAAAGACACTTGGGGAAGAAATAGCCGTTTCCCCGTGTGATCCAAATTGTGTCCCTGTCCTGCTTCAGATTATCTCAGTGGCTCTCTTGACGTGCATCTCGTATTTCAGGGGCACGGCCTTGAGATAACGGTGACTTTGGGTTTCAAAAGGGAAGAACGTGTTCCA